CTACATTGAAGAAGTTAATGGTATTAAGAAAAGTGGTAGGAAAACTCTAAAACCTCGGATGTCGATAAACGCTGATGAAAGAGGTGGTCTAGAAAACATGAGGCCCCCTAACAACAGCAGTCCAGTACAAGAGGATATGAAAATGCATCCTGTGAGCCGTGCAGATTCACAATAACCGAGCAGGACCTGTCATCTCATTACTTAGCCAAACACATTGATCATATCTGTGCATGTGGGAAATGCGGACAGGTCCTTGTTAAGGGGAGGCAGCGTCAGGATCATGCTCAAAGGGGTGGAGAACCCCAAGATCTGACAAGGAACGGGTTAGGAAATACGGAGGAGAAAATGGACATGGAAGAGAATCCTGATGAGCAGTCAGAAGTAAGAGATATGTCTGTGGAAATGCTGGATGACTTTAGGGACAATCATTTCCAGATAAACAGTATCCCCCAAAAAGCAGTTATTTATTTAAACATTCTGCCTGTCCTTCTCAATGTCCTAATTGTGGCCAGTGTTTTGAAACTGAAAGTCTAGTGCTTGAACACATGTCTAGCTGCCTAGACCAGGATGTGTTTAAGAGTGCCATCATGAAGAAAACGAAAGAGATCACAGACGAAAGCATTTTTGTAATCTGCGTGGAAAAGGATTTTATCAGAGGGGCGACTTAAGAGAAGACTACACTGTTCATACTAAGGAAAAACAGTTCATTTGTCGGACACGTGGAAAGCAGTTTTTAAGAGAACATGAGTTGCGACTGCACAAAGGCATGGCCGGGAATGTTTGTTCCACCTGTGATCAAGGAAACCTCAGAAAACATGACCATGTACGGCACATGATTTCTCATTTAACTGCTGGCGAGACTAAATGCCAGGTCTGCTTTCGGATAATCCCAAATACGAACAGCTGGAACAGCGCAGGGATGTTTATCTGCATACATGTGGAATACGTGGAGCCAACTTTGAGGAAAGATATGAGATCACATTATAATGCCAAGCATTTTAAAAGAATATAAGTGATTTTCTACTGTGCTAATGTTTAGTTGATAGCAGACAAAACACCAAAGCAAAGGATATGAGCTATTCAGAAATTGATTTTATGAGATGAATTGTTGGGAAAAAATTTCAAGGCCCTTTTAATACTTTTGTTTAGGATCTTAAGTATCTACATATTAGGTGTTATTAAATGTTTATAATTTTTATTCTTTCTTAATAGAATTCTTTGATTTTAGTTTGTTTTAGCTATGATTAAAATTCCTTTTCGGGCACCTGGGTAGCTCACTCAGTTGAGCTTTTGCCTTCGGCTCCAGTCATGATCCCAGGATCCTGGGATCTGGCCCCACTGATGGACTCCCTGCCCAGTGGGGGGCCTGCTTCTCCCGTCCCTCTGCCACTCCCCCTGCCACTCCCCCTGCCACTCCCCCTGCTTGTGCTCTCGTGCTCTCCCCCCCACCTCAAATAAATAAATGAATTCTTTAAAAAAATAAAATTACTTTTCAATGTAGACTACAAGTGACTGTTACCCCTTCAATGTCTATTAAACTTTAGTTTTTTTATTAAAAAAAAGTAAAACTATAATAATAAAAACTCAATAGAAGGATCAGAAGGTAAAGTTGAGGAGCTTTCCCAAAAAGTAAAGTAAAAAGTCACAAGATGAAAAATAAGAAAGAAAAAAATAAGAAATTTAGAAGCCTAACAGCTGGATAAAACAAGTTCTCAAAAAGAGAACACACACACACACACACAGACAAATGGAGAGAATACCATCAACAAAATAATTCAATAAAATATCCCATAACCAGAATATGAGTTTCCAGATTTAAAGAGCCCATCACATACCTGACACAAATGGATGAAAATGGGACCATACCAAAACACATTTGTGTGATGTTTCAGAACATGCAGGACAAAGTAAAAATCCGGGGAGAAGAATAAAGGTTATTTACAAAAGATCAAATATAGGGGGCACCTGGGTGGCTCAGTCCCGTTAGGTGTCTGACTCCTAATTTTGGCTCAGGTCAAGATCTCAGCGTCCTGAGATCAAGCCCTGCCTCAGGCTCCCCACGGGGCATGAAGCCTGCTTGAGATTCTCTCTCTCCCTCTCCCCCTCCCCCTCTAAAAAAAAAGAAAGAAAAAGAAAAGAATAACTTTAAATTACAACCACACACAGCAAACCAGAGGCAATGGAACAATGACTTCCTATATTTTGATGGAAAATTATTTCCACCTAGAAGTCTACATCAAGTTTGAAGGTAGAATAAGGGCATTTTCAGACAAAAATTTTTAAAAATTACTGTCTATGTTCCATTTCCCAGAAAACTATGAGAGGATGTGATACAACAAAATGAAGAGAGACCCAGGAGGAAGATATTGGCTACAGGGAAAAGATTTAGTGCAGAATAGAGACAGGGGCATTCCCGGCATGACAGCTGGGGGGGAGGCGGGGGCAAAGGACAAGTAGTCCCCATCTGAGCAGATAGGAAAGCTTAGGGGGAGATTTCTCCAGGAAGAGCAAATTGATAGAATGCCTCGAATCTGAGATATTAAATACAAGATTTAAGGAACTGGCAGTTTGGATTTAATTAGATACAAACACATAGAAAATAGAAGGAAAAATAAACAAAAAATGACCATGAGAAACAAAACAAAAATCCTACAGGAGAGGGAAAATAATTACGGTTTATTAAGAGCTGAGTAGTGTTTACATAGTCATAATTGTGATGGGACCCGTGGTGTGGTGTAGAGCCAAGGAGACCCTAAATCCTCATCTTCCCGGGTGTAAGTCCACGGACAATGCCTAAAACTGAGCAAGGTTATTATTAAGAGATGTCAGACACAAAAGGTCACATATTATATTATCCTGTTCATATGAAATACGTAGAAGAGGCAACTCCAGAGAGCCCAGAAAGTACATCACAGTGGTTAGGGTGGGAAGTAATGAAAATATTCTAAAACTGACTGCGGTCATGGCTGCACAAGTCTGTAAATATACTGAAGCCACTGATTTGTACACTTTCAAGGGGTGAACTGTATGGCTTGTGAATTATATCTCAAGAATGCCCTTTCAGCAAGAAATAAGGGAGGTAATTACCAAAACAAGCAACACATTTAAAGTGATTGTCTCTGGGGAGAAGCAATGGAAGAAAGGGGGCCAGGAAAGAGGGGGTGGGATCGGATCAGCTTTGATTCAAGAACACAAAGCCTAAGCATTAATGTAAGTCCACACGCCGTTATTGAAAGCTGGAGGTTCACCCCATGCGTCAGGGTCAGGGCTGGAGAGGGTGGGGTACCACGACACCGGGGCAGGGGCCGGGCTGGAAACCCTGTAGTGCTAGACGCAGGTTCTAGAGAGTTCCTGCGCTGGGCACAGCCTACAGTCCGGAACGGTCACCCAGCCACCGCCTTACGGGCAGCCACCCAGGGCCTCAGGTGGGTGTGGGCGCCGGGGATCCCGGGTCCTGGAGGGGTGGCGGGACTGGGGGGCAGGGAGGGGGCCCCAGGCAGGAGGGCAGTCCCGCAGCCCCCCCTCCCCGCCCCCCCCCCCCGGCCTCTCCCGGCCTGTCCTTCTCTGCACCCGCCCCCCACCCTTTGGAGAGCGTCTACTTCCCCTCCCCGATTCCGAGCTGGCGCTGGCGCTGCCCTCAAACGGTCCCCCAGGGTCCTCTCGGTCACTACCTGAGCCAGCACCATCTCCCTTAGGCGCCCCCGCAGCCGCCCCTCTCCGCGCTCGTGTGGACGCGCCTCTGGCGCCCCCTACAGGCCTGTGCAGGCCCGCGCTTCCCCAGGCCGCAGTTACTTTGCGGGGCCCCTTCCTCCGTAGAAATAGAAAATATTGTCATTTAAGGCTGTGTTGGCCCATTCCCAACAACACGGAAGTTTCTCTTTGACTTTAAGTTGGACAGAAAAGGAAAAAAAGATTATTGGCATAAAGACGAATATATTAATATTCTGTATTAAGACACTCTCTTAGACCTAAAAGCTTCTTTCTTTCTTCTGATTTTAAAGTAAATTAAAACATTTTCATGGGCCCTAAAAGTAGCGTGGGCCCTGGGCACCGTGCCTAGTGGCGAAGCGGGTCCCTCAGCTGCCTCCTTTCCCTGGGGCTGCAGACAAGGCTGGCCCCCACATCACACTGGAGCCCTGGGTCCCACTCCCCTGGACGGTAGTCGTAAGCTCCTGCAGTTTCCTCTTTCCAGTGGGCGGTGAGTGCTGGTCCTAAAACACGTGCACCGGCTTGCAGTGTCACTGCCCTGCTCACAAGCCTTCGGTGACTGCCAGGGCCCACCTCAGGAAGGTGCTCACAGAAATGGCAAACTCCATCAAAGACGTAGGAACAAAATGCTACTGGGGCCCACCGGAGGGGGAAACAGAGGCTCACTCTAGATGCCTCTACCCAGAAAACTCAATTATGTGTGCTAAGGGGAGCAAGGAGAGAGAGGAATCCCTGTTCACCTCTCATGCCACACCCATCTCCTCTCCCTCCTCCCGCCCACCTGGGCACCCACAACCTCAGCAAAGCAAGCAAGGCCAGAACACAAAGGGTAACAGCTTATCAACATATGCCAACATCAACTTGTTAGTCCTCATAACAGTCCAATGGAGGATGTACTGTTATAGATAGTGATTGTCTATATCTTATATAAATATGAATAAATTTCTACTTTACAGCTGAGGACACCAAGGAGCAGAGAGATTTAGTAATGTTCCCAAGAGAACACCTGTTCTAAAACTAAGAAGGGAGTCCTTAGCCTTGGAGCTTCTCCAGGTCCCACACTGGCAGGAGGGGAGTGATTTAAAGGCTATTTCCAGGGTGGTTTTGACCACGTGGGATTTCCACGTATCTGCAGACTTCAGAACCCAGCCCTGGGTCAGAAGCACCTGGGAGAAGTCTGCTCAGGGCTCCCCACTCCTCACACTTCTGCTGGAAACTCAGTTCAGCTGAGACTTCACCAAGGTCCCCACAGCCTTGTAGGACACCTGCCCTCTCTTCGCTCCTCCAGGAACATGTCGTCCCTGTTTGCAAGGGACGCCGGGAGTGTGGTCAGAGAACTGGGCAGGAGAGGGGAGCTGGTGCCCGCCCACAGCCTGAATAGCGCCCCACACCTGCGCCCCTTCTGCCTGGTGAGGAAGAAGCACAGACGCCCCCCCTGGCCTTGGGACACCCCCTTCATCCCTACAGACTTCTCCCTCATGGATGCACTGGAGCCCAGCTCCCCCATCCCAGGTACTTTCAGGTGGGGCCTGTGGGTAGCAGAGTGTTGCAAAAAAGACAGACTCGCGTGGCTGAGAAAGCAGACAGCCTCTGCCCAGACACCCCGTGGACACCTATCCTCCATGTAGGGGAAGGATGAACCCATGTTTTTCTTCCTCCCGTCCCCAGTTGTGTGATAAGTAATGATAATTTTAAACAACAGTAATGGTTTAACATGGGTCAAGTGCTTGCTTGTGTGTCAGAGCCCATGCTGACAGTTCCTCAGTTAATCCTCACAACCACCCTTGGGGGAAGACCCTGTCACTCTTCCCTCCCCTTTTTTAAATGGGGCAACTGAGGCTCCAAGAGTTAAGTGGCTTGCTCAGGGTCACACCCAGCCAGTAAGTGGTGGAGGCCATATTGGACCCCAGGGCTGAGGCCTTAGCCACGCTCAAACCTGCCTTGCTCGCCACCTGGACCTCTCTTCCCGCAGAGTTGAACCGGAGCCAATCCATCCAGACCCGGGAGATGGTGGCAGGAGCCGTGACGGGGGCCATGAGTGTGGGCACCGGGCTGCCGGTGCAGGTGACAGGGAACAGTGGGGTGATCCACAACTCCACACTGACTGTACACACACTCATGGTTTCCCCTCACACCTGGGAAACTCTGATGAAGAGGTGAGAGTCCTGTGGGCCAACCAGGCCGGCGGGGCTCTCCTGGCTGAGGTCTGTGGGCTGGAGTAGGGATCAGGGGGCAGGAGAGAAAAGCCCAAGGCTCCGGCCAGCTTGAGGACCTCCAATGAAGCCCCTCTGAAGAGTGGGTTGGGATGGGAGAGTCCACCATTAGCAGAGAGCCCAGGGGCCCAGGGACAAGGGGGTGGGTGGTGAGAAGGGCTTATTTTAAGTCAGATATTTCAACCTAGATGGAAAACAAACAAACAAACAAACAACACAAAAAAACAAAACAGAAACGTGGTAGCTGCTGAGTGGGAGGCAATAGGGAGTGTTGAAGATTATGGCTAACTGCGGACACCAGCCTGCCTAGAGCTGAGCCGCAGCTGCTGGGGCTTTTACCTGGCAGGACTGTGAGCTGGGTGGCACCATTTCTTCAGAGAAGCTAGAAATTGAGATTTTTGTGTGAAACCTACCAATTTTAATATTTTCTCAAAAATTCTGAACACCTCATGGGCCAAATAAACATAAGCCTTTCATCCAACTCAGCTTGTAGAAAGCCACATGGTGGCCTCTGGTCTGGACATTTTATACCTTGTAGAAGACAGATGTCACACTCCCCTCAGTTTCTCTCCCTTTCTAGCCACCCCCAAGTAACCTTAAGCAAGCAGTCCCTAAGTCCAGGCCAGTCACACCAGGGGAGGCCTGGTCCCAGGAGCATGCCCCACCCCTACACACCCTTACAGGAAACTGAGGACCCCGAAGCCCTCGTTCCTCAGGGAGCTGCAACGCCGGAAGGAGAAGGAGAGCCTGTATGTGGTGACAGAGGCCGTGGAGACCACGCATGACACCATGCTTCAGAGCCTCAGCAACGCAGAGGGAGCAGGACGGCCGGTCTTCCTTGGGCCGGGCCATTTAAAGGTGCAGGGTGTGCCCCAGGGGTGCAAATTCGGGTGTGCTGGGGATGCTGGCAGCCACCAAAGAGCTCCCACTCCACCCTAACTCCTGCTAAAGGGCTGCCCCACTAAAAATCGCCCCATCTAAACAAGAATGGGATTCCTGGGTGCTTGTGTTGTGGCTCTCAATTCTGATGACACGTTAGAGTCATCTGGAAAGCTGTTTTGGTTTTTTGTTTTGTTTTTGTTTTTTTTAAGATTTTATTTATTTATTTCACAGAGAGAGACACAGCGAGAGAGGGAACACAAGCAGGCGAGTGGGAGAGGGAGAAGCAGGCTTCCCCCCGCCCCCCCCAAGCACAGAGCCCGATGCGGGGCTCGATCCCAGGACCTGGGATCATGACCTGAGCCGATCATGACGCTTAACCGACTGAGCCACCCAGGCGCCCTCTGTTTTGGTTTTTATTTGAAAATACCCAACACTGCCCCGCCCAATTCTGTTTTCATCGGTCTAGAATGGGCCCCACTGGCTGGTATCTTCTAACTCCCTCCAGATGATTCTATGTGCTGCCAGCGTTGGTATCACCGAGGAGGGGGTTTGCATCAGCTTTGGAACCAGGCACACCTGGGTACAAATCCCAGCCCTGCCCCTGGCTAGCTGTGTGGCCTCAGGCAAGTCACTCAACCCTCTGAGTTTGCCAGTTCTCACCCCGGAGGAGAACCAAGGGAGATTAGGCAGCAGTGTGGGGAAGTTGCTGAAGACACTGGTGCAGGGACACTCCGTTTCCTTCCATGTGCCTTCCACGTCCCAGATCTGCTCCTCACCAGCTCAGTCCTTAGGTCATTTAGTGCCTGTGGGCCTCAGGTCCCCATGGTGACATAGGAAGTGTGGGACCCACACTAGTATCCTGGGGCTCTGGGACTCTTGTCTCCCACAAGTTAAGTGTGACTCAGCCTCACAGGAATGCAGGTGCGTATGGATCACCTATCAGTCAATCTCTAGCTTCCGTTGCTGAATACTGTTTAGAAGCTAGAACACAGTACAAAATGTTCTCTATCGATTTTTCTCATCCATCCCTCCTGATGATCCTATAGGGTGGGTACTATATGTCAGGTTTTCTGGGAGCCGAACCTGGAGCTCAAAGAGGTTAAGGGGCACCTGGGTGGCTCAGTTGGTTAAGCATCTGACTCTTGATTCTGGCTCAGGTCATGAGGTCAGGATTGAGATGGAGCCCCGCATCGGGCTCTGTGCTGAGGGTGGAGCCTGCTAGAGATTCTCTCTCACTCTCTCTAAAAAAAAAGAAAAGGAAGGAAGAAAAGAGGTTAAGCTCCTTCCTCAGGAGCACACAGCAAGCAAGTGCTAGAGCCAAAATCCAGACTGGGCCTACCTGGGTCCAACACCCATGTGTTTAATCAAACCGGTTACACTATAACACCACCTCTGAACCCAGCAGATGGCTGGCCTTCTAATCAAGGGTTATTTGAGATGTCACTGAGATGTTAAAATATGCAGCCTCACTCCACTTGCCAGTTGTGGGAAGGACAGGGGACAGTATAAGGGGAGGGAGGGAGTAGCTGAGGGGCAGAGAACCATCTTGGGGCTACCTGTTTGCTGCTGATTTCTTATTCTGTGGGACTCCAGGTGTGTCATGGGACTGGGGTCAGTATAGGGTAGCCAGCCTTCCCAGCTTACCGGAGCGAGGGCTGTCCTGGGACAGGGGACTCTCCGTGGGAAGGGCCAGGACAGTGAGCCAGCCTGGTGGTGAGTGACGGACACCTGAAATGACGGTGGCTCTAAACAAGAAGAGGATTTCTCTCTTAGGTGAAAGTCCAGGTAGGAGCCTAAGGCAGCGGCTCTGCAGTGGCGGATCGTAGTGATCAGAGACCTCGCTCTTTCTGTTTTGTCACTCTGCCACTTTCTGGTGCGAGATGGCTGCTCTAGCCCCATTACTCATGTCCACAACGCAGCCGGCAGAAGGGAGAAAAGGATGTGCATGCTCCACCTCCATCCGTGTGCACCCCACTGGCCAGAACGTGGAGCTGGATTCAGGCCAACCAAGCGCCAGGGGAAAGGAGGTGTTGGTTTGTTGTTGTTTCTTAAGATTTTATTTATTTGAGAGAGAGCGAACGCGTGTGCATGCGCATGAGTGGGGGGAGGGGCAGAGGGACAAGCAGACTCCCCGCTGAGCGCAAAGCCCAAGGCAGGGCTTGATCCCAGGACGCTGAGATCATGACCGACCAGAGCCCAGATCAAGAGTCGGGACACTTAACTGACTTAACGAGCCGCCCAGCCGCCCCATCCTACTGTTGCTTTTAAACTGCACTTTCCCTGTGGGAGTAGGGTGATAGCAGGGGGCCCCTGCGCCTCCCAGGGCTTGCCCCCGCCGCGCCGCGGTTTCCACCTCTGAGTGAGAGGGGATGACTCAAAGACCACTTGGAGGGGATCCGGCTGCGGTGCCTCATGACTCCAGCTCAGCGTTTCCCAAAGCCGGTACCCCAAACTCTGGACAGTGCTTAACAACACTAAACGAAACCGTTTCTTTACTTTGGGACTTTTTAGAGCTTTTACCATGCCAATGTGTATTGCTTTGACACCAGAACGCCTTGGGGTTTTTTTCTGGAAATATCTTGTATGCAACCTATTTTGCTGTTCTTGCTGCCTGAGTGTTCCCCATCCCCTGCTTGTGGATCTTCCTCTCCCCTCCAACCTCTAAAACCCCTACACTGATCACCAAGAGAGACCCATGCCGTCCCTCCTCCTGCATCTCCCCGTCCCCTGCTCCTGTCTGCCCTGAAGACAGCTTCCTGCTGGTCCTTGAGTCCTGTGTGGACTTGAGGTCCTGTTCTCCCTGTCTCCTTCCTAGCTCCAGGGTCAGAGCCACATGGCCAAAGAGAAGGCAGTGACCATCACCCAGGGCACTGTCCTGGCCTACAGGGTGCTGCAGCTGGGGATGAGAGAGGACTGCTGGGGTAAGTGGAGGCTGGAGGCGCAGGGGCAGCAAAGACAGGACTGCCTCTGGGAGGGCTGGCAGAGGGGCAGGGCTACCTGCACACGTGGAGCAGCGAGAGAAGACAAGACTATTTCCCAGTGGCCTGAGCACTCAGCCAGACAGCTCCACCTTCTGGCAGCTCTACAAGGATCTGAGGAGCAGGGAGGGCCCCCGAGGTCAGCTGTCCAGGAGGGCTTACAACCCAGTCTGCGCCCCACTTAGCCCAGGAGTGGGGGGGGGGGGTCAGGGAGAGGTTGCATTTGATGGGAGAAAGGGCTGTGTCATCTACTTAGCACAGAGAATCATGCGGACTGGGTGGTCCTGCCCATCCTTAGCACAGGGGCAACCAGTGGGAGGTGGGGGGTTTGCTCTCCCAACAATGCTGCAGCCCAGAGATGGGCTGGGGACTGAGCCCAGGGTGGGACCGCTCTGATGTTCACATCTGGCCCACTGAATCTGCAGGGTTGGCCTTGGGTAGGGGGAGGAGGAGGAGGTGGAGGAGGATCCAGCCACCCTTGCCCTCTGAAAAGAGCAGGAGCCTGAGTCCCGTGCACTGAGGTCTGAATGGCGGCTTTGCCATTTGCCCTCTGTGTGGCCCTGGAGGCGTCAGCAAATGTCTCAAGCTTCAGCATCCTCGTCTGTAAACGGGCTCGTGCTGCCTGCCCACAGAGTGCTGTGAGGCACAGGAGATGAAGCTGTGAGGCCCCTGGCTCCCTGGCCTGCACACCGTAGGAGCCCCATAATTGCTAACTGTCTGCCTCCCTCTCAGGCACTTTCCTCTTTTGCTCCACCTGTGCTCCCACACGGCTGTTCTGTACCTGCCTGAAAGAAAGCTCGGTTGAGACTTTAGTGGAGGTAAGGAGTCCTGCCCAGGGCCTGGAAACCAACCAGAAATCATCCCTTCCCACAGAGAATGCCCTGACATTGCTCTTGGGGTCCCTTCCCTCTACCATGCCATCACCCCATGTCCAGGGGCGAGGAGGGCCATCTTCCAGCTGAAGCATGGGCTCTGAGCAGGAGGGGGGGAAGGAGGAAGGAGAGTGAGGTGCAGGAAATAGGGAAAGGCAGGGGTAAGACTCCTGACTGCTACCTGCTATGTGGTGGGTACTCAGTAAATGTTTACGGAAGGAAGGAAGGGAAGGACGGATGGACGGAGGGAGGGAGGGATGGAGGAGTGGAAAGTAGGCACAGACAGGAGGGCTCTGCATGAGGTGGGCGCTTCACCAGGCCAGGACTGTGACACCAGGGCCTCCTGGTTAGGCGGAATATCTGGGCAGGCTAGCCCTGGGCAGGGGGCCTGCGCCCAGGAGCTGGGCGGACCTATCCTCTGCCCACAGCCTCAGCCTACAGTTGGGCCCCCGGTGAGGAGCCCAACTTCCAGGGCCTGCAGAGGCAGGCGGGTGTCCAGCTGCAGGACCTGGCCACGCTGCCCGCAGAGCTGCGGCACCCGCTGCTAAGTGCCCTCCAAGAGCTGCTCCAAGACCCTCGGGCCCTGCAGGAACTCGAGGACACGGTAAGGGGCCCATAGCCTGGACCAGGGGTTGGGGACTGGGATCCAGGAAAGGGGGGCGGAACAGGGAAATGAGAAGCAGGAGTAGGGATGTGCTCTGAGTCTCGGAAGCGCCCAACCTTGGATGGCAGCGTGAGGACGGCCCCGTGGTGACCAAGCACGGGCCCGTGCCAGCTTTTGTGTCAGACACTCGCTGAGCATTTGCTCACTAAAGCCCAAATGAGGGACCTGGCTCAGCACTGCTGGCGTCAGAACCCAGGCTCATTCCATCCTCACTGGCATCAGAGGGGGCACAGTGCCAGGGGGTGGGGAACAGGAGCTTGGAGGATTGGGGGCAGGGCTAGGGGGCAGAGGAGGAGACCCACAGCCTGTCCTTGCTCCCCTTTGCCCCTGCCCTGCAGATGGAACAGGCCCTGGACACTGGGGTGCTGGGACAGCTGGTTGGCCCTGGGGGCTTCATCCTAAGCACCGTCCGGAACCCCTCAGGCAGGCTGTTGACCTCGAAAGGCAGGGCCATCCTCTGCATTCTTGGAGCTCCTGTGGGTAAGAGGGATACACAAGGGGCTGGGGTGGACAGGAAGAGAGTCCAGAGGGAAGTCCTCCCAAGGCCCCTGCCCAGCAGCCCTTGTGTTCCCTGACCACCCTCTCTGAGTGAGCCCTCTCCTGTCTGTTCTGTGCTCTGGACGGTCCCAGGCCGTTCCCACTCACATATGATTCTCTGTCCAAGCTCCGTCCAAAGTCAGCATGGAAAAGCACAGCCCCCATTTCCTCATTTTGCTTGTGCATTAAGTGAGGGTAATTGGCACTCACCTTGCAGGATGCTCCAGCCCTTCCTTCAGTGATGATTTACTGAGCACCCACTGTGTGTCAACAAGGCACCAGGAAAAACTGAGGCAGCCGCTCTCCTCTTTCAGTCTGGAGTGGGGACAGACATCACACCAATATAGACAGAATTACCAACAGCATGAGAGTGTCTGTCCAACCCAGAATGGAGGCAAGGCCCACAGAGGGAGGTAGAAATAGGATCCCCTCACTGGTGGCCTGCAGTGTGGACAGAAGTGCTGCGGCAGGCGGGACAGAGGCTTTGAAGCCTGGGCCAGGCTGTTCTGTTGTCACCTTAGGAAGGTGGGATCTTCATTTCCCAGAGCCTCCTTCTCTGGGTTCTGGGTAGAATCCCCCAAAAGAGGAACCACCATGAGATTTGGGGAGCAGAAGTGAAGTAGTGGCCATTCATCTCTGAAGGATCCCTGATGGACAGGTGCTGCAGTGCCCACAGATTCCCAGTGCTTCCTCCCAACTGCTCGTGCTGCTGACTAGAAAGGCCTTGGCCCTGTCACCACACACAGGGAGGCCACAGCTCCCCATCAGCCTCTACCAGCTGCCTCTTGGCAGTCCCCTTCCCACTAGCCTTCACGACTTTCCACCTTGCTTTCTGCACTTCAAGCCATGGCACTCCCTGGGCTGTCGTTGCTTGAACAAGTCAGCCTACTCTGCCTCGGGATCTTTGCACTGGGCATTCCCTCTGCCTGCTATACTCTTCCCCCCAAATATTCACAAGGCTGTGTTTACTGTTTATCATCAGCCTCCTCCTGCCAGAAATATAAGTGCCACGAAAGCAAGTGTTATTATGGTTTGTATTACTCATATGCTCGATCTACTGAACACATGTTTGTACATCATGGTGCCCAACATCCATTAGGTCCCTCCCCATGCATGAAAAGGAGATTGAGGGGCAGAGATGCCCCCATGGGGCTAGAGGCATGCTATTCACCAAGATTGGAGCTTCATGTTTGGAATCAGGCCAACCTGGGTTCTCACTGTAGTTTTGCCCCTGACAGGATGAGGAATCACCATTATCCTGGCTAATAACCACCTTACAAAGCCACTGGGGAGCAAATGAGCTAATGTGAAAACCCTTCGTAAAGTGAAGCCCACCATCCACTCTTCATGGGTTGTGTTTTAGGGAAACTGAGGGGTTGGAAGGGGTGGCAACTTGCTCAGCACTTCCAGGGCAGGCACAGTTCCCGCCTTCTTGAACCTTCTCAGGAAGGATGGCCCAAGAGGTACGTAGTAGAGCTTGTCTCCACTTTAGGGCTCCAGTATCCCAGCCATTCCTGGGTTACTAGGGCCCACGAGGAGACACGCAAGATGCCTCAGATGCTCAGTGGCCCTCAACCCCTATCTCTCAACAGTGCTCAGTGACATCCAACATTGCCTGCTGACCCAGTCCATGGAGAGAAGGATCATGCCCCAGCAGCTGGAGCTGGTGAGAGCCTGCCTCCAGGACAGGGTGTGGAGGGAAGATATCTGGGGGAATATCCCAAGTGGTCTGTCGGGGGTCCGGTCCGCAGTCCCTTGAGAGCCCTTTATCAGCACTGACTCACAGAGGGGGCACTCCCTGGCTCTCACTTCTGAGTGCCCAGGCCTGTGCAACCTCTGCTGGGTGGGCCACATTCACTCACATGTGGGTTTATTGATTATACTGAATCCATACCTTCTGCCACCAGGCCCTCTGCTGGGGCTGAGAATACAAAGTGAAAGAGGTTCCACCCCTCACAGTCTGGTTAAGGGACTATGCAAACCAGTGACAACAGAGAGTGCCTGCTTTAGCTCAGACAGCTATGGGGTGGCTTTGGTGGCTATGAGGACACCAACTACAGGGTTCAGGGGCATTTCCCAGGGGGTGACCCCTCCATGCAGTTCATGAATTCATGGATGAAAAGATGGGGGAGGTGGGAGGCAGAATCCAGGCAGAACAGCACAGGCAAAGGCTGGGAGCTACTAGGGAGTGTTGGAAACCAGTGACTCCAGCCAGTGTGTGAAGAGCAGTGTTGGGGGTACACTATTTTGCCAAGCCTCAGCTGTAGTGGGAGATGGGGGGCGCACTGGCCCCAGGCTCCCACCCTCAGGGTGGGTTCCACGGATGCAGGCCCTGGGAGACCTGCCTGTTCATTCTGGGTGGTTCCTTGCAGGTGGCGAGTATCTTAGAGCCAAACTTTAATCAGATGGAGGAAACCACCTTCTCTCTCCCACTAGAAGTCCTCTCATCCCTACAGAGTGAGGATGCAGCCCTCTCCCTGAGCCTGGTGGAGAGCTGTGGACTGGAGCTGCAGGGGCCTAGCCAGCGACTCATGTGGGACCCTGACCTGGTACCACAGCTCTCTGCACTCTATGGGTCCCTTGCAGGGCTGCAGATGCTGGCTGCACCCAGCCCCGTAGCCCCCTAGGCCAGTGGCTGGGAAGGGTGCCACATCCTCCCCTAGGGTTCCAGTCCTCCTGCCTCCAGGGAGCTGCTGGCCCAGGCAGCCATGGGTGATTATGGGCTCCACCAGGACTGGCACACACGCTTTCCTCCATCCCTTTCAGGACTGGTCTCCAGACATTAGTCACCCATCCAGATGCGAGGGGGCGGGGCACACATTAGTGTAGAGTCTCACGTTGGATCAGAATTCTTCCTTGAGAGGCAGTAGAAGCTGTTTCCAGAAGAACCGGGGCTCCATCCACCGCCCCACCACCGACAGCTGTGTAGCTCTATCTGTAGCAAGTTACTCCCCTCTCCTGCAACCTTAACCCCCTATGAAATGGGGCTAAGAATCCCTAGCTCACAGGACCGTAGCAAAGACTTCAAAGTTGTAGAGAAAGTGCTCAGAACAGTGCTCGGCTGTCAGCTATTATTGCGTGACGTGGCTATTACTGGTCGTCTGGCTGCTCTGGAGGAAGCTGCAGGACCTTTCCCCAGCTGCACAGAGGACCTGACAGTCTCCCCTTAACGCTCAGCCCGGCCTGCTTTCCCGGCGCAGGATGAGGGAGATGGGGGGAAAGTTCCATTTGGCTGGCGCGGGCCTGCGGGCTGGGACTCCTGGGCCGGGCCCTCCGCAGAGCCTTGTCTGGTGGTGGGAACTTGCCAGCGACGCCGCACAGCACAGCGAAGAACCGGAGTCCTTTCACGGTAGGAAGCATCTCCGCCAAAACTCGCACGACCCGACACGGCCGTGACGTGGAGGAGCTGTGAAGGAGTGCGCGTGCGCGTGCGTCCGTGCGTCCGTGCGTGTGCGTGCCTTGCGCGCGCAGGGCGAGGGAGAGGAAGAAGCTGAGGACTCGTGGGGGCTTCCGGTCTTGGACCCCCCCCCTGCTCGGTTCTCTTTACTTGGCGGAGCCCTCCGCAGCCGAAACAAAACCCCGGACAGAGCCCCTGGTTTTGCCCAGGCGTCGCAGTCACAGTGTATGTTCGTTTCCACTGATAAAACTTACCTAACAGTGGCCTTTGTAAAAAAAATTAACAAAAGTCTCAGAAATGTATGAAGAACGCTTCAATCTCCTAAGTCCACTACCCAGATATAAGCAGTATTGACATTTTGGTAACATTTGCCCATCAGTGTTATTCCCATGCATTCATACAAATCATCTTGCAGGTAGCTGTGTGAACTTAGGCCAAGTTTCTTAACCTCTCTGAACTTCTGTTTCCTCTCCTGTAAAGCAGGGGTAAAAATACCTCCACGTTAGAGAATATCATCAAAAAGACGTGACTGCCAATTGACCTGTGACCTGGACCCAGGCGCTCCCAGGCTCCTCCTCACCCCCTACCCTGTCCTTGGAATGAAGGTTACGCTTGCCTTTCCTGCTCTCAGAGGCTGTCTCAAGGACATAGCCTTGAGATGGTGATGTGATGTTGAAAACACCTACATGGTGTATAAATGAGCACAGTTAGGGCCTCTTTATAAACTTTTAAGATTTGGAGGGCAGATGCAGGGATCCATTCGTCTTGTTGCCGCCCAACACAAGACCCGTATGTAAGTTCCCTTCACTGATATTAAAACTAACCCCCTGGAGTGGCCTGCCGCTTCCTTAGGTCTCTCTCCCTGCCCTCTCACTACAGGGGTCAGTTTCAGATCATACCCAGGAAGCTGAAGCTCCCAAGAGGGTTGTGAACCAGCACTCCATGTGTTTGTACCCCTTCAATAACATGCTCACATGCAGTGGCCCCTCAGAACTATTTTCCTCCCTTTGTAGGACCCTGTAGAGAGCCCACCCTAACAGTTCTCACAGGAAGGCCCTTGTCTAAAATCCCCTTTCAGCAGCTAAGTCAGAGTCTCCAGGAGCTGTGAGCTTGTGGCCAGCAGAGGAGGCAGGATAGTTGAGCTGCCTTGTAGCCATGGGAGTCTGAAAGAAGAAGCATCTCTCTGCCTTTGACCATCCCCGTGCAGCTCTCCCCTTTCTTTGGACCTCCCAAAAGCACATAGGGCACAGCCTGGAGGCCAGTGTTGCCTGAGCAGCTTTTCCAGGTCTGAGGTGAGACCTTAGAAATAGGGAGAATGGGTCATAAAGCCACCAACAGGCAGAAGGGGGACCAGAACCCATACAGTGGAGTCTTTCCCCTACCCAAACCGTTTTGGTGTCCACCTTCCATGCCCCTCCCATCTCCCAGCCTCTCGCCACCTAATGCTCCTGGAGAAATACTCCCGCACTGGGCCAACGGGGCCAGAATCTCAGGGCAAAAGCCCTCAACTAGTGAAAAATGCTAGTGCTTACTGAGCCAGAGATAATCTCCCTGCTCCTGCAAAATATGTGCCACTCACCTCCTTCCCACTTCCTTCCCACCCCATCCCTCCTTGCAGGTGTTCAAGCCCCAAACTTGGATCATTCTTGACTCCGATCTGCTGGGGACACCTGTGGCTCTCCCTCAAACTATATACCGGATCTCATTCCTTCTCACCACACCCACTGCAATGATCTGCCGTTATTTCTTGCCTCGATTAATTGCCTCTTGCAATTCCTTAATTGGTCTCCTTGCTTCTGTCTTGCCTCATCTTAGTCTGTTCTTGGCAGTTAGAGAGTTAGAGTTAAACCTTACCAAAGATATCAGTTTATATCAGTCCTCACTCAGAGCCCTCTGATGACTCAGAGCAAAGGCCAAAGTCTTCTGGTGGCTGCTATGGCTTTATGTGATGCGATCCCATTACCCCTCTGACCGCACCTCCCTCCCTGGCCCCCACTGCCCCTCAGGCACTGTTTTGCTTTGAGGGTTCTGCACTTGCTCTCAGCTCTGCCTATCCAGGACCCCTTTCCGCAGACACCCTCACTGCTAACTACCTTCCCTCCTTCAGTCCCAGCTCACATGCTACCTTCTTTACGACACCTACCCTTGTCCACCCTACTGAATTGCTAACTGGTCCTCCGCCCAGCACTCCCAGTCTCCCTTAATTTTCCCATAGGCCTTAGTATCTTCAACTGTACTGTATAATGATTGAAATCATTCTAGTAATTAATTACATCTAGACACTGGGAATACAACAGTGCAGGGAACAGACCTGGCCCTCCTCGAATGGAACTGACCATCTGGGGTGTGACACACAGGCACTAAACAAAAGTTCCACGATCCCTTTGCTGATTCTTGCCATGATGATGATGTGTAGGAGACTGCCGACACTGCTTAGGGGAATCTAGGGCCTCCTCAGAGCTGAACATGCCCTAGGATTCCACTTTGATCAAGCACATTGATCAACAGCATGACTTTCCCAGGTGTCACTGACAAATGTGCTACTTTGGGAGATATGTCTGAGGGCAGAGGGAGAAGGATTGACAAGGGTGGCAAGAACAGCAGGGCCCAGGCCTCCTATTGTTGTAACCTTAGACCAACCGCAGATGGGCACTGGTGGATAAATACTACCCTTGTCTGCCTCCAGAAGGACAGATCCAAGGGGCTTTCTACAAAGCTCCCCAGAAGGGCCAGGGGCACAGAGTCCCAACATGAGAACCCAGCCTTGTATTGACTTTCCCTCCTGGCCTGTTTCACTCTGCCAGGCCCCTGGTTCTGCTCCCTGGGACCTCCTCCCGCAATAACCCCACAGCACACAGCCCTTGCTTATGTTCTGCTTCCCATGGACAGCCCAGGCTAGAACAGCAGGTTCAGTGATAAGTGAAGCAGAGACAAAAACAGAGTAAGGGTAGTGCGGAGTGTCTGGGAGGTTGTCATTTTCAACAGCAGGGGTCAAGGTAGGCCTCCCTGGTAGGTAACACCTGCACAAAGACAGAGGGCATAACCCACCCGCAATCCCAGTAGGGGGACCTGCCACTGCAAAGGACTTGGGACAGCGGAGTGACCACCCTGTGCTCAAGGAACAGCAAGCTTAGCCTGGCCAGGGGTGATGGACGCGAAGTGAAGGAGACACATGATACTTGCACACATGCATGAAGGCTCATCCTCACACCATTGTTTACAACAGTCTGGAAAGAACCGGAGTCCATCAAACAGAGGGATGGTTAAGTAAGTTATAGTACATCCATACAATGGAATACTACACAGCATTCAAGAAGAATGAAAACACTCTTTATATAAAAATATGGAACAATTTCCAATTCATATTAAATGAATAAAGCAAAATGTGGAATGGTGCATATAGGAAGTTGCATTTGGGTAAAGGCATGGAAGAATAAATATGAATGACATAAAATTTGAACCTAAGTCTATAACACTTACAAAAGCCATACAATTTCTCCTACAACCACACATCATTGAGGAATTTCTCAAAAAAAAAAAAAATCTTGAATGATCCTGGTGTTTTGTGTCAACACAATATTCAGACCACACCATGGAGAATATACACCCAATATTTGCTTTTACTGTGGCTTCTTCTATCCGAATACCCCCTCTGAACACCCAGAACATGCTGCCCTCCTCCATTCAGGCCCTGCCCGGAACCCATCATTACAGTTCTAAGACACAGTCTAAGTGAGCTCTGGAGAGGTACTTAGTAAATGTTGACAGACATACAGATGTGCTTGTGAACAGACTGACTGAAGCAATGTATCAGTACACTGGAGTTTGATGCTTAAAAATCATTGTGTTGCTAATTTTCATTTCAAATAGGCAGTTCACTGCCTCTCCATTTATTAGTTATAGGATCACAGTGTTTATTAGTTATAGGATCTTTAAAGGGTTCATTAAAATTGAGCAGCTTTGCCTAGCACCGTCACTGACTGAGGGAAGTAGAACTGGTACTGTTGGCTACTCTAGAAATGGAAAACAATACACGTTAATGGACAGGACACTTGGAATAGACTGCATTGTTTTTAATAGTTAAATGTCACGATGGACATAATGAGATTGACAGCGAGCACTTTTGATACGTACAGGACATTACAGGCATTATCTGGCATAATCCTCAGGGCCACTGTAGAGGGGTAGGTATCTCGAGTGTTACCCATTTTGTAAATGAGGACGTGGACTCAACCAAAGTCACACTGAGTTAAACTCCAGTCCACCAACTCCAAAGTCTGTTTTAACTGTTCACATTCCTACTGCCTTTTGCAGATAGTATATACAAGACATGTAGTATATGATGTGGAAGCAAACATTAGAGATTTTGTTTCAATTCTCTCATTTTACTGATGAGGCAGAGTTCCAAAGAAATGATGTGGCTTGGGTTTCCTGACTCTTCATGCACAGATCCTTCTATGCATTCTTCTATGCATCACAATGTACAGAGCCTGAAATATGCTCGGTAAGGGATTATTTCATAAGAATTTATGGGATGGAGTTGACTGCAATCTCAAATGGAACCAGAATGGCATTTTTAACTCAAAAGACCTAGATTTGAGCAAAAATGCTAACTATCTTTATGACAAGTCTAAAATATTTGGAGCAATCTTAAAATAGTCAAGTGCTTTTTAATCCCAATCTGTAAGGGGAAAATAGCTGATTGAAATGTTCTAGTCATTCACATTGAGGGCTGTAGAAATGGGGCAGTGGCGAACAGAGTCATGATGCAATGGGTACTTTGTATCATGAGGGAAGACGCACAGGCACTGGACTGAGAGGAGCAGAAAGATACTGAGCAGAACTGTGTTTTCGAGGGGAGATGGGGCTAGAGGAGGCCGGCTTTTGAGTGACGTTAAGATTTACCGACGCGGAGCAGGGTTCCAGCTCCCTCCAGTTCGCAGGGCAGACCCTGCCAACTCACCCTGGCCCTCTTTCTTGATGAGCCCATGGTCAGTCCCATAATCCTTCACTCTAGGACAGATGTTACGAATAAGAGATCAGACTTGGTAGGTGGGAAGTTGACGATTTTTTCTCTTTCGCCATCTGAACGGCAACCATTAGACCCGAAATTAAATCCGTGGCAGCAGGGATGGCTCCTTTTATCACACTGCAGCACTGCACTTCTATCACCCCCAGTTCTCAAATAAACCTGCTCTTGTAACTAGCAGAGGGGTCGGCAAACTCTTTCTGTAAAGGGCCAGATAGTAAGTATTTTAGCCTCTGAGGGCTGCATGGCTTGTCACAAGAATTCCATTCTGCTGTTGTAGTGCAAAAATAGCCAAAAATAATATGTAAACAAGTGAGTGAGGCTGTGTTCCAATAAAATTTTATTTATGGACACTGGAATTTGAATTTCATATACTTTACATATGCCATGAAATATTCTTTTGATTTTTCTCAACCTTGTAAAAATGTAAAAAACTATTCTTAGTTCACAGGCTGTACAAAAATAGGAGGTGGGCAGATTGGCCCGCAGACCAGTTTGCTAGCCCTCAGTCTGGAGTTAGAGATTTCTCTACTTCTCCAATATGCAGAACATGAGCTGTTCTGACCGCAAAGGCCAGTATTGCTTTCTCTCTTCCAGCTGCCTCATTATTTTTTACTTGTATTCATTCACTACATTCGAGCATTCTCTTGGCCCCTACTCCAATCTGGGTACTGCGCAGGATCCTTGGGGCACTGAGGGAAAAATCAGACATGGCTCTTATCCGAGTTCTCACAGCATCAGAAAAGCCACCCACAAGTGCAGTCAAGTATCAGAGGTGTTGGAACAAGATACCGGTGTTGGATTCCCGGGGCTGCCATAGCAAATTACTACAAATGTGGTAGAAATGTGTCCTCTCACGGTCCTGGAGACCGGAAGTCTGAAGTCAAGGTGGCGGCGGCAGGGTTGGTTCCTTCTGGAGACTCCCTTCTTCTGGAGGGAGAAATCTGTCCCATGACTCTCTTCCAGCTTCAGGTGATTGCCAGCCATTCTCAGTTCCATGGCTTGTCGATATGCACTGCTCCTATCTGCCTCTACCTTCACATGGCCTTTTGCTGTGTGTTTCCCCTTCTTTTCTCTTACAAGGATTTGTCATTGGATTTAGGGCCTACTCTAATTCAGGATGGTCTCATCTCCAGACCCTTGATTTTATCTGCAAATACCCTTGTTCCAAGTAAGGTTGTATTTTCAGGTTCCAGGTAGACATATCTTTTAGGAGGCCACTATTTAACCCATTACACTACTCTTAGAAGACTGGGGTTAATGTTATCCTGAAGGCTTCATGAAGGTCTTAAAAACTGAGAGCTGCTGCTCATCGGATGGACATGAGGGAGGAAGGGAAGGGCAGGCTTGGGGACCAGCCAGAGTTAGGGAGGTGTGGTGCCGCAATGCAACTTAGAAACTGCAGGCAGCTGAGCCTGGCTGAAGAAGAGCAGGGTATGCACCAGGAGCACGTGAGACCAAGGCCAAGGAGGTCAGCAGGGAGTCCACAGTGGCACTGTGGGCATCAGGACCCAGCACTATTAAGCCAGAAGGATTTGGTGGAAGCCTCTGGGACTCCCTCCACTTCAAATGCACCAGAGCTCAGACACTCAAGACACTCATCACACCCCCAGCACAGTGGGACTAGACAAGCTTTAAGCTGTTTCTCCCAATCAGGACATTTCGATCTCATGATTAAGGTTTTGTGATCTTTAAATAACATACACGCTGGTTTTCTACCACGAGTGTCAAGGCCTGTGGCTTCAAGCCCCTCTTACGCACACGCTCCTCCCAGTGCTGAGAGCTGCTCTTCCTGCCGCCCTCTTGCTCCTGGAGGCTGTGAGTCAGGCAAGTGCAGTTTTCCCCCTATTACTGCAACCATACGAGAGTCAATCAAGAGTACGAGGCAGTTAATGACAAGATCAACGGTCTTACTGCATTTAGCAAGATTTTAAAAGCAATCAAAACTACCTACACAGACAATAATGAAGAAAAATACTATTACAAAGAAGAGGAAGTATTTGATGTGTGTATGTACTCCACTAAAATAACACAGGGAAGGCTTTACAAGCTTAAAAACAAAACGCCAGTAAACCAAGCCACACTTAGAAAAATGAAAGCTGATTTTTATTTTATCATCAACAGCCATTCTTTAAACATGAACATGCATACGTAATATTCTACGCACACATCACAGTTTTTAACGTTAGTTAATAAAGGTTAAACACACAACATACATCCTTACAAAAAAAGTCAAATGCAAACTTAAAACTTTAAACAAAAGTCTTACTAATTTAAAAAAAGTTTGTGTTGGGTACCATTTGTACAACACAAGTTAATTTAAACATTTTCATTTTGGCTGCACATGAAAAAAGCGGCAGTAGAAAATAAAGTCATTGAGGGTTTTTAAATAGCAGAATAGGCAGTTTTGCCATGCAGGAGAAGCAATATTAAATATTAGTTTTCAAAAAAAATCCACATTTAAAAATATTTAGTTCAAGTCACAGAATTTTTCTCAGTAGAGACCCCAATGCAATGCATAATTAGCTGCCTTAGATGGCCGGTTTGAAAGGACAATATCCCTTCAGAGTATAACTTTACTGATTTTGGCACAGAAAAGAAGTCTTAAGAACGAGAACATGATTAAAAAAGAGGGAAGAGGGAACATAGGCAAGAAATAAAAAGCAAGAGTACATGAGATAGTAATTGTAATCACTAAAAACTGAGCATTCCCAGTCACTGCAGAATACTGTCTTCCATCCACAGCAGGTGCGCACTCCACGGCTGTTACTGCAGCATGGACTTGATTTGCTTGGAGGTAGTCTCATCATTCAAATGTTTTGTTGTGTACCTAAAAGTAAACAAACAAACAAAAACAGCAATTTTAGGGAATTTAAAAAAAATCATTATCTGCACTCACTGGTTTCTAGTATTACAAGATGAGCAAATAGGCCAATCTTCCCTCACAGAATCGTGCCCTTGATTTCTAGCTTCAACTGGGTTCAGGTTCTGCCTTGCTTAGCCTCCCTACCAGCTTTTAAACAGAAGATCCGGGCACCTGGGTGGCTCAGTTGGTTAAGCATCTGCATTCAGCTCAGGTCATGATCCCAGAGTCCTGGGATCGGGTCCCGCATCGGGCTCCCTGCTCCTTGGGAGCCTGCTTCTCCCTCTGTCTCTCTCTCTGTCTCTCATGGATAAATAAATAAAATCTTTAAACAGAAGATCCAAGAACTTTGTAGCTGAGTCACAAGTGGTTAAATTCTAAAGGAAACACTCAAGCTGCACCTCTCACTCAGAGGAAAACAGTCCTTGCTCCATCTCAGGCATTGACAAATTATAGCCGGTGGCCCAATCTAACCCACTACCTATTTTTGTATGGGCTGTGAGTGAAGTATATTTTTATAATTTTAAATTAATGCAGAAAGAAAACAAAATAATAATATTTCACGTTAACATGGAAATTATATGAAATGCAAATTTCAGTGTTTTTATAAGAAGTTTTAATGGAAGACAGCCATACTGATTTACTTCGGTATTACCTATGGTTACCTTCTTGCTACAGTGGCAAAGTAGATGTGACAGAAACCATGTGGCTCCAAACCCTAAAATGTCTGTTTACCCTCTAGCCCTTTACAGAGAAATATGCTGAGCTCCCTTCTAATCCCAAACTGTCACATCCCAAAATGTCTCAATACTCTAAGTGCCTTGTTTCCAGCTAGATGTGTTTTGCTATAGGCATGTAAACCTAAGAATCATAAAAAGAGTGATCACTGGTTTATGAGAAGATTCACCACAGGAGCCCTTTAATAGCCCAAAGTCAGTGAGTAAGCCTGCGTGTCCGACTCTGTTCCAGGAGCTTACAACCTGGCAGGGCAGACAGATGGTAATATACTCATACCAGGGGCAAAGGAGGAAAATACCAAGTGGGGCCTTACAAACAGGTTATTCTAAGTGCAGTGAAAGCAGTGGAGGATATTAGGTGGGATTTCACTTAGGTTCTGGAAGGACTGCTCTGGCTGCAGAGGAAGAACTGTAGGGAGCAGAGGAACAGCACAGGGACCAAGCAGGGCGCTGTTCCAGGGGCCTCAGGGAGGGATGACCAAGGCCTGGACCAGATGAGAAGCTATGGATACAGATGTTCAGTGCGTGAATGTGGGACAGTTCAGACAGAACTTAATGCTGGATCAGTTAATTTGGCTTATAAGAATTTCACATATAATCTTTAAGGAATATATCATTTTAAGCAAGTATACACAGATGGTCTTTGTGTCTTTAAGAAATTTAAACCCAATTTTTGTTAGTTTCATTTCAAATCAATTTAAAAATTGAAGAAAGCACCTGAAGCTCAATTAATTGGTACTTGTGGAAGGAAGACAAGAAAATAAGCAGCCAGGCTGGAAAAACAATCCATAAAGGAATATTTACATTAAGTGGCAGGTGATGTAGCCAACACTAAAGCCTTGTTTTCTTTTCCAAGTGCAGATAAAGTATATTTAGCTGCACACAATCCTACTGATGTCAGGAAAGAAAAATGTTTAACATCCTTCTCTTCATTTCTGTTTTTTCCCCTTTCCTTTATGCGCCTGAATAGGGGAGAGGGCCACACAAGGGGCACACCAACATTTCTACACAGATGGTTTTAAGTACCACTACTCAGCAATGTTCTGGGACATTCCAGGAGTTCTGAGTGCTTTCCTCTCTACCAGACACAAGTTCTTGCTGCTTCTGCAGGATGTGATCATGCACTTCCAGCAGTTCTCAGATCCTTGCCCTGAACGATGCTGACTGGGAGGCAGGCCTGTCACATCACCTCATTCTTCTCAAGAAATGGCCAGGAATTAGGGCATGTGGGTGGCTCAGTCGATTAAGTATCTGACTCTTGATTTCAGCTCAGGTCACGATCTTGGGGCTGTGAGATCGAGCCCCGTGTCCAACTGTGTACTGGGCGTGGAGCCTGCTTGGAATTCTCCCTCTCCCTCTGCACCTCCGTCTCTAAACAAACAAAACCAAAACAAAA